AGAAAATATAGTTGTAAAAATAATAACACATATAATAACGACCGACACGGGGATAAAGGAGTTATACAAAGAGAGGGTGATCACGAAGCGATGGGAAGGGAACCTTGGAAAACTCCAGAATCAAAGAGTGATAAGATAGAGACTAATACAAGATTGGTCAAGATACTAGGATAAGGGCTAAGTATAGTCTTACGGATGAAATATGATATGCGTCTAAATTATTTATTATATTCTCACTGGTAAGAAATCGGGATCGTGACCGGGACCTTGACCTGCGTGGGCCACCACTAAAACCTGTCACGCCCCGCTTCCCAAAATACCAAGGAATTGTGACGCGAGCAAGCCCACGACGTATTAAACTGAGAAGAGATAAGTGCTAGACCCTGTCTTCTCAATCTAATACGCTAAGCGTCAAGAAATACAAATGAAGACACGGGTCCCCGATCACAGTAATGAGAATATAATAAACAACTCAGAACCAAAAGATACATATCACAACTGAAATGATCATCCAGACATAATATTCGGGCCAAACATGCCCTTATACAAACTATCTGAATGAAATACTGGAGAATATAAAATACAATGATCAGGCGGAAAAGGAAATGCTACGAAAATAAACTGAAAGGAATAACTGAACTTCAACTCTTCTTCTGCTTCGTCTACAAGACACTCCTACTGAGAATACTCGGCTTTGGCGCATCTCCAAGCTGAACCTGTTCTTCTTCTAAGTCTGACGTACACCAGAAAAAACAGGTGTACGTCAGGTGCATGGCGCACGGCAAGATCCCATAGAACAAACGAAAACCAAAGCGGAAATCGATACAATAATAGAAATGACAAAAGGACGTACAACTGAGAATCCAACAAATCAACATGCAATCCACTACCAAAACATGATAATCATAAGAATCCGTAAATCAATCGGGTAACGAAATCATGCAGCTAGCGATCAGAATAATCATCCAAGTACAGAGTCATACACTAGATGGAATTAATACTTAAAAATCTACAACTCGAGACGTAGTACGTCGAGCGAAATAATCCAAACAAGGAAACCCTCCTGTATATACCATATGTCTCGAATTGTAAATAATTAAATATTAATCCCGATCTATGTACGAAGAGAAATACAGCTGGTCTACATCTCACAAGAACTCATACCTAGCCAATAAACGAGGTCATGTAACTAGCCATTCTATAACAGGTCACTGGTCACATCTCACACAGAGCCAACGCTCATATCACCGGATAACTGACTGTTCACAAATCCCCTACGTGCATCCAACCCCGCTACACATGCAACTGACTGTTCATAAATCCTCTACGTGCATCCAATCCCGCGAAACGGTTCGGTGAGAGGACTACACGAAATCCGATTTCGGCCTGGTTCGAACTCAAGCAAAACTCGGGTGACGAAACGATTTCACTAACCAAGTGCGAAATGGTTCACTTGGCCCAACAACCTAAGCCCAGTGCGAAACGGTTCACTGGTTCTAGTCTGGAAGATACATCAACAGTCTTATCCGATCACATGAACATTAACTTCCCCATCCCAACTCTTCTCGCTTTCTAAGTCAACATACACACAGGTTTCTAAGTCTTAAACTGGACACACTAGGCCACACTAGTCATGAATTTCTAACGGTTCTCAAGCATAACAAAGAGTAATAAACACAACTAATCATATACATCAAGATCATAACATATCACATAATTAAAATTAAGAAACATAAATCATGAAAAATTCATAATAATCCCTTTTCTAAAATAAATCCTTAAAATTATTTATAAATGTTCTAAAATAATTCCTTTTATAAAATAAATCCTTTAAAAAATATTTATAATGTTCTAAATAATTTCTTTTATAAAACTTTCTTAAATTACTGAAATTATTCTAAATTGATACTTATTCTAAAATAAATTCTTTTAAATTATAATTATTCTAAAATAATTCTTTTGTCAAACAAATTCTATTGTTTTATTATAATTACTCTAAAATTATTTTTCACCAAAATAATTTATTATAATTATTTTAAAATGATTATTTTGTCAAATAAATCCTTAAAAAATCATAAACTAATCTAAAATAATTTTATCTTATTTTATCTTTACAGTATCTATTATCAAAATATTATTTTTAGTATCATTCGTCAAATAAATCCGTACAGGTCATCACAGTATATGTATTACAATGTGAATGGTCATACATTATTGTCCACAGTCCGTTTCGTTCACGATACTTCTATACGTTATAGTTCTCAGTCCAATATGTTCACGACAGTTCCGTATTTGTAACGAATAATTATTCGGGTAACGAATTCGTATGCATAATAAATTTGTGCTCAATCTAAAATTATACTGAGCAAGAATAGGGATCTTGCAAGCAACTAATTAAATCAGGGCGGTCTAAGAATTGAATGATAAGTCAAAGGAGTATCGGGATCTTGCACATAAATAACCTACGACAAATAAAAGAACTGGAACGAAACTAAACAAGGATCGGGATCTTGCCTCGGGGTCTCGTCGAACGATTCAACTTCGACGGCGCGGGTACGCGGGTCTGATCTGAGCGTCGGTCGGAGCGGTTGGGGGCTACCGTCAGCGAGAGAGATCGTCAGCAACGTCGACAGTGAGGCAAGGACAACAGCGACGAGGTGAGGGCTGAAGGAGTCGAGGTTACCGGCGTTGCTAGCGGCACGGCGAGTTTAAATATGGGAAAAAATAATAAAAAATTAAAAAAATAAGATAAAATAATAAATGAGATGCGTGTGGAGCAGTCATTTTTGAAAAAATGCGGAGGGAGAGAACGGGGTTGTTGGGGTTTGTCGTGGGAGCAAAATAATGTTGGAGTATTTTCAAATAGTTTTAGGTATTTAAACGAAAATAATTAAAATAAATAATTTCGGGTACTTAAAAATTAAACTAATTACATAATAATTATCTACAAATAAAAACGTACATGTTGAGCTAATACAACAGTTGATACGAAACTGTCGAAATATACCTATATTGTACAATTAAACGGAAATAATTAATAATAAAAATATATTTACTTACATTTAAAATCAAATAATTATGTGACAATTATCTACACGATAAAACGTACTAGTTGTACTAATACGACCAATAATACGCAATAGTAGAAATAGTACAAGAAATTATACAAATAATACATAATTAATAATACATCGTATTATACAAAAATATACGTAATAATAATAATAATACCACATATTATTCAAAATGATACGTAATAGTATCGGTAACACAACGGATAAATCCCAGAAATTTTTATTGCACTAAATTAATTTATAAATATAAAAACCATTTAAATAAATATAAACTTAGACTTTAAATCATAGAAAATTCTAGAAAATCGAGAAAAATACAAATACTCTTTTAAAAATAATAATTAAATATTTTAAAATACTAAAAATTTATTTTAACTAGTATCAAAATTTTACGATCATTACACTAGACAAACAACATTAGTTGTAAATTGTTTGTTAATCATCATCAAAACAAAAGGACCCAACAGAGAATGTAAATGATCATTCCATTTCCACACTCATTCCATTCCACGTCATGCTTCATTCCGTTCTCAATCCGATTTTCACGTACCAAACGGTTTGGTACGTAAACATACACAACTTATAACATACTCTCCCTCTCTCCCTCTCTCTCTCTTCCTTCTTGTCTGTCCTAACACATTTAATATCATTCTATTCACTTCCTTGCCATCCCATTCCCTTGGGTTCACTTCAACTCACTCCTCTCCCTACCTCTTTATGTACCCAAACCCACTATAAGTCTTAAGAACATGCAATTTTTTGGAGTCCAATAGATTTTTTGGACTATAATCCACTTTACATGTGTACGAGTCTTTTAAATGCACTCAAATATCCTATTCTTTCCCCTATATTCCACTTATAGACCTCACTTGCTTTCGGCAGGGCTTATATATCGGATTTGCTCCTAGTAAAGCGAAGTTAGTGAACATTGGATAAGTTAAAATAAGTTAACATGTGAAACTTGGTAAGAGATTTAATTAGGGAGACTAACAGGACCTTTTTTCATCATGTTTGAAAAGTTTAACAAAGTGAAGAGAAGAGACGAGAATATATGTAAATTTACATAAATAACTTTACATGTGTAATTCTTTTTTTAATAGAAGGGTAAAATCATCTTTGAGTAATAGTTATCTTAACTTCTCCTTGGTTATACCCCAATATAAGGGGGAACAAAATCTTAGCTTGTCTCACCTTGGTTACCTTAACTTCCTCCCATCCATTATCCATCACAAATAAGCTCCCGAACAAAATTAATGAGTTCCTACCTTCTCATACCTCCCGTTAAACCCAATCCAAATATGCCCCCAAAGTATTTTAATTACTTTCAAGTACTTCGGTGCGAGCGTTACTTATATGATAAAAAAAGTATGGAAAGACTTAAGAGTATTGTATGATTTCTTATTAGTTTGAGAGCATTTCCCTTGATTGGTTAATTGTTTATTGTTGATTGGTTTAATTGATAGGGGCATTTACAATTTGATTCTTTTCACATGTAAGGGCATTTTAGAAATTCCAAAAATGTGGCTCGTATGACCAAATGGGCCCTTAGGATAAGTTAAGTTAGGGGCATTCACAATTGATTCTTTTTCCAATTTATATTTAAACACATTTTATTGAATTATGCTTAAATATTTTAATTTTAAAATTTTAAAACTAGCACTTACATACCCTTAAGTTTGCATGACTGAGAACATTTAAGTAGAAAGTTTAAAAATTTAAGAGTATTTAACTCTATATTTTTTAAGCTTTAGGGTCAAAACATGTCAGGATTTATACAGTTATGTAAATGACGTCAAAAATAAGTGAGGGTATATAAGTGCGAAGTAGTAAAAACTATAGGGTGTTTAAGTGCAATTAAGCCTTACGGCCGATTGCTGTTTGGGTTGGAACAGTATAGAGTTATAACAAACTGCGGGAGCAGGCGACACAGAAGAAAACCCTGCGCCTCTCTCAAAAACCCTCTTTTGGCTTTCGCCGTTGCCCTAATCTCACACAGATTGCTTCAATTATGGCGGCAAATAGTAACAAAATAACTTTAGTTTTCTTGTTTTCAATTAGAAATATTTCTTGATTCCCCTATTTTTGATCTTGAATTAATTAAGTTTTTTTTGGATTGAAGCAATGGCGCGTTCTTTTCTTCAAGCTGTGGCTACGGAGGAAGTCGCTCCTCCTCTTCGAGTCGTTCAGATGGAAGGACTGGTAACTAACTTTTGCGATTTTTGTTGCGGATTTTTGAGTTTTTCTAATTTTTTCGGATTTATTTGGTAATTTTTTGGTGGTAATTTGAAGTTTTAGGGCAATTTTAGCGGAAAATTAATTTGAAGTTTTTAGGGCAATTTTAGCGGAAAATAAACATTCTTTTTGGTAATAATGTATTGGAGATTGGCGCAGAAATATACTCAAAACTTTGGTTCTTAGTTCCATTTGCCATTTCATCTACCAATTAGGAGTTTTTTGAAGAATGTAAATGCTATTTTATTTAAATTGCCATTTCATTGACCAATTAGGAATTTGCTGAAGGAAATAAATATTATTTATTAAATTTAATAATAATCTAAACTGATTTTCGGATTAATATCAATTAAACAAGAACATGTCATATATATTTTTGCGAATTTTGTACCATAAGAACTTTAGGAATTTTCCTTTGGCTTTTAAAAACTGTTATTTACCTGTTGAAGGCTGTAGGTTTTCATAACCATTTGCTATTCTATTTCACACTTAATTTAAGAAAAATGAGGGAGGATCAAATCCATACATATTATTCAAAATTATAAAAAAGAAATTGTAGTGGCTCTCACATAATCATACAAAGATTTGTACTAACTCATGTATTCTAATAAAGATACATATCTCATCAATGAATATAATTCACATTTACATCAAGATGTGAGATGGCTCGGGGTTCACCAGACACAAAACCCGAGAAAACAATTTGAGACCATAGCTCGAAATTATCAATCGTATCGAAAGGAAAATAAGTGTATATATAAATCAGCTCCTTTTAGGTACTGCTCTTCGGCCTGGTGGCACATATCTTGCCTTCTTGGGCAGAAGATTTTAAGCTCGGCTCCCTCCACTAGCATGCGAAAACAATTTTTTTATTCTCATAGTCACATGAATAATAAGCAAACTGAGAGTAAAGTTCATATGTGGTGGGTCCACAATGCAACCAAACAAAATTATCATTTAACTAAATGCAAGCAACTTAAGGGGTCATAACCCCATCCAAACAAATAATCGACTAACTAGCCAACTAAATAAGCCAATAGCTTTGGTACTCCAAAAACACTCTTTGGTACTGATGGCAAAAATTGTAATTAAATTTCTTGATTTCGCTCTAGAAGTCCTGAGAAAAATAGTAGCCGCTAAGAATAGAGTACCACACCCAAATTTGTAATTAATGACACATTGAAGGGCAATTCTTAACTAATTTAGCCGTCCCTCTGCTTCCTCCACATTCACTCCCTTTTTCTTTGTTTTTTTTCAAGAGAAACAATGTCTTCAAGTGAGACCCATTCTCAATTATTTCACAATCTTATTTAATTTTGAGTTAGATCAACGTCATTCTTCTACTTCGCATCTATTGTGATCGACAAGGATAGGTAGAAGTCTAGAACTCCTCTATTTCACTTTTCTATTTGTCTTGATTAGATCCTTAACAACTAGAAAAAGGAAGTACTATTTCGCAGTGGATTGATGATTGTAGAGTTCAAAGTATTTTTTACGAAATTCCAATATAGGAGATATATCTCATGTGCCCTTCTCTACAATACTCTTATCAATAAAAAATGAAATATGTTGGTGTACCTAAGTAAAATCTACACTTTTAATCCAACTATACTGTCTATGAATTTACTAATCGGAAAATAACTCTGCAATTAAGTCTACCTTTTCCGTCCTCTATATTTTTTGGAAAAAAGAAATTATGGGTTTGGCTAGGTGAGGAAGAAGATAGTAGCAAGATACAATTTTACTATTTAAATAAAGTTGAAAAAATAATCCCTTTTTTGGAGCACGGTATCTGGTCTTTTATAAAACTGTTGTACTATTTTATCTTTTGTCAAGATTGCTATGGAAATGACGTAAAGATAGAGTCTAGATGAGGAAGAAGATGAGATATTGGAGTGCAATTTTTCTTAGATTAAAATTGAATAAAAAACCATGTTTAGAACACTGAATTCGATCGCTTTTTCATCTTTGACTTCGATATGTGTTTTTTTGAGACTGAACAAATCGAGAATAACTCTAATTTTTTAGGTTGACAAACTGAGAATGGGAGGGGTGAGGAAAGGAAATAGTTGTGACAAGAGAAGAAATAGGGGAAAATTACTAAATAAGAATGCACCAAAAATTTTTCCCATTTGACACTTGTTTTCTATTTTATGTAAACTAAAAAATTGTAAAATTCCTACTACCAGAGTACTGATGCATTCCTCATTAAATAATTCCTCTGACGGCTGTATAGTTTTGGGGGTAAAAGAGCATTAGTTATTGCTTGCTAATAAAATTTTATTTACTTTTTCTGGTGGCTGTATAGTTTTGGCCGAAAAAAGAGCTTTAGTTATTGTCTGCTAATGAAATTTTAATTACTTGACTACTCGATAATATGATCCCAAAACAATACTACAATTATGATCATCTGATCTAACACAAATCATATTAACCAAATTAAACATAATTGATTTCCCAATAATTGTTTTTCGTTCACATAGCACTAAAAACCATTGTAGTATGTGATGCTGTTAATGGATGTATAATCAAGTTATGATTGTTATCAATGTAAATCAAGCGAATGTCCAATAGTAAAAAATGGAAAGTGTATGCTAATAGATCACGATAGCACAAATCCATTGACATTCTTTCGTTTCTTTGAGAGAATGTGATTTTATTCATGATTAAGATGTGTCCGACCTCCTCGATATTCTCATCTAGCGGGCTTTCAAAAAGACATATTCTTAAAATACCAACCTTGCTATTAGTGGACAGATGACTATTGTAAGTTTGCAATTGCCCATCATAAGTTGGCACTGATCATCAATACAGAACCACCACCATTAGTAGTCTGTCTACTATCACCCTTGTTGTTTGCCGTCTCCACTGAGCCTACACTAATAAATTACAATACACTAATAAATTTTTATCTATAATAAGTATATCAATTTATTCAATAACATTGAAAGTCGAAACAATGAAAAACTTGATAATATATAAACATTGTTCGATATTGCTGAAGGAAACAAATTTTATTTATTCAAATATAATAATAATCAAAACTAATTTTCAGATCAACATTAACCGTACAAGATCGTATCATATATATTTTACAATTTTTCTAAAAAAGTGTTTTAGGAATACCTATCTTCCAAGTAGCACAAGTGTTTTGCCTTTACTTGATTCGCCTTGCTTCTCCTACTTCAGGTCAAATTAAAGGAGATGATGATTCTCTCTCTAATTCATGCTTTGAAATTTTGGTTGAGATGAATGCCCGTTTATCTCAAAGACAAGCCTATGGCCCTACATCTTATAGGGATCATGTAGGCGAGATCTTACAGGAATCTTTTACTGTTTGTTTAAACTTAACTATCGTATCTATTGAGAACCTATATTTCAACTAATTATACTATCCGTTGAGGTTTTATATCTCAACTGATCAATCTTAACTGATCATAAATATCTTCCCATATAAGAACTTTATATAAGTTTTAAGTTATAATGACAAATTTACCCATCAACATATTTGCAAAGTAGAGAAAAATATATTCACAAGTGTCTCCCTTTCTAACAATTCTTCGCTTATCTATTCTACTAATATCTTTATTCCAATTTATTTAACTGTAACATCTTTCAGTATTATTTACTAAATGAACATTTGGACGTGCATAAGTATATATGTTCAATTAGAACAGAATCAAGTTCTCTCAATAACAATTATTGTCAAGGAAGTAAGCGAGGTACTTATAATTTGGTTCTTAGCCTTGGAAGGATACCATTTATATATTTATGTGTTAACTTTGACATAGCCAATCATTAACGTCTAACTAAAAAGTTATAGATGAACCTGCAAGATTGCATAAATATTATATGAGATGTGTTATTTTAACATAAAGTCCACATTTAATTTTTTTTTGAAGAAATTTGTTATTCCAAGTGGTTCTACTGCTAATATTTGACTATATCAAGCTAGATGAGTATGGTTTGACAAAAAACTAATACATAAATAATGTATTAGTTGAGTATATTAAGTCCAATAAGATGTGGAATTAAATATAACTTGTAAGAGTGATAATAGATATAAGTGGTCTCAGTAACTTATATTGAAATGAAAATAATAGTAGAATGATCGATAGAGATTGAAGTGCTAGAAAGGGGGCCACTTGTAACTATCCTTTTTCTCTATTGTTACTTTGCAAATATGTTGATGGGTATTTGTGGGGTTTAAACTTAAATAAAATTAAGATACAACAAGCTATCTGTGACCAGGTAGGATTGCTTACTTGAGATGCACAATCTCAATAGATAATTATGACTGGTTGACATATAGGATCTCAAATGATATTATAGTTAAGTATAAATGAATAGCTAGCAAAAAATTCCTGTAAGATCCTATCTACATGCTCCCTATAAGTAAAGGCTTCTCTGTGAGGAAAACAACAAAAGTTCTTTTGCATTAAAAAAGTCCGAGAGAGCAAATTAGCAAGGGAATGACCATCATCTCCTTTAATTTGTGAGGCAACCCAAATGGATAGGAGCAACAAGGTGAACTAAGTAGAGACAAGATGCTTGTGCTGTTTAGAAGTGAGGTATTTCCAAAACCAATATTCTAGAAAGCACTAGGCATGGCGCCCGGCACCTAGAGCAATGCCAAAGTGGCACATAGGCATTTTGTTAGCATTAAGTGGTAAGAAGTTTTTTCAAAGATTCAAAATTTTATCCTCATCGTTTTATTTGAGATAAACTTGGATCGAGTTCTGATCTTATACACTTTAACTTTAACCTGATATGTTCTATTCACCCCTTGCTATGCTTAAGTGGATAGCAAACCCCTTTTGATGTGGTGAGTCCACGTGAGCAGGACATGTTCACCCGATGTTATGCTTAAGTGGATAACAAACCCCTTTTGATGCGGTGAGTCCATGTGGGCAGCCCATGTTCACCTAGGCACTCTCAAGTATTAAGCAAGTGGTTTAGGTACCGCTTACGCCTAGACGGGCATCCAAACCGCTTTTTAAAATGTTGTTTCCTTCAGACAGTAGTATATATCATGTAGTTTTTCGTTGTTTTGATATGATTGAAGAAATTGATATAATTATAGTAGATATGATATAGTAATGTACCATAATCTATTGCCTCATTACATTGACAGTTTTTTGCATTCTACTCAATTTGATTGTTGACAGTTAATAAATTTGATCTGTGAATCTCATGATGTGGACCAGGCCGTCTAACCTGTCTCTTTAGGCACACAATTTGAATTATATGTTTGGTTATATTCTATTCGTTTATTAACTGAATATTAAAAAAATATTCATTTACTGTTAAATAAACTATGGAATCGAATATAACTTGGAGTATGTTTGGTAACCAAAGTTTTTTTTGGTTGTGTTTTAAAAAAAAACACCATGTCATAGTGTTTATTTTTCAAAAGTGTTTTCAAAACACTATTTTAAAAGCATATGATACACACCCAACCAATTAAACCTTACTCTCGCCCGTTGCCGCTCCCCACCACCAACCACTTGTCGGCCGTTAGTCGTCACCGGCCTTAGTCGTAACCATTGACTGAATTCATAGCTGATGCAAGTTAGGAAATCTGTATATAGATCTAGACTGCAAACAACTCGCTGGTGCATGATGCTTAAGAAATGAAGATGGGGTTCTGCATATTATTTATTGTATTTATTATTTTGTGTTTGTCAAATGCTGTTACAAGAGAAATCTATCAATAAAATCAATGAACAAAATTTATCTGACAAGTAAAAACTTATAGCCAAGCAAGAAGGGAATGGTAGCCAGTTTATTAATAAAAATTGCAGTTATTATTTCAGCAATAAACGAGAAAAAAAGAGGAACAAATCTCACAGTTAATAGCAAATAATTAGAAGGTAAAAGGGGAAAAAATCTCACATTTATTATTTCAGCAATAAACGAGAAAAAAAACCAACCTTGATCGAAATTGTTGGAGGAGGCGTCGGAATCGACCGGAGCGGCGACGAGGAGGCAGCTGCGGCGACGTGGAGGCGGCAGCGGCGAATACTCGAGAGGACCTGGCGAGCGTCGGATGCTTGCGGGGCTTTGGTTTGTTAGGGTTGAGGATGTCGTCGATGGGTGTTAGGATTGAGGCTAACGAAGACGTCGGAGGCTGCGTCGGTGGCGGCGATGAAGTTAGGGTTGAGGGAGAGAAGGGATCAGGGTTGATTTGGGGGAAATGAGACACGGGAGTTTGAAAACACCTTTTAGGTGTTTTGATAAAAACGTGTATTTTTTCCATTTTGTGAAGGGGCAGCTCAAAAAAACACATCAGTTCCCAAACGTGGGTATATGTTTTTTTTGGAAAAAAACGAAAATGGGACAAACACAATGATAGCCAAACGCTCCCTTAATATTTGGGCAAATAATAATCGAACTGTTTGCTTATTATTTGGTTCACTTCCACCTCTAGGTGCGAGCCAGTTTTTATATAATGATTAGATCTGCATAACTTCAAAAGGTGGAAGTTATTATGACTAGGAGGCTACGTACTTTTGTGTAAAAGCTTCACCTTTGTTTTACGTATATCAAAGCTAAGTCATTTTTAGTAATATATGATAGATTGAAGAAAGTTGTGTTGTTTCTGCACCATATCAATTGAGAATTTTAAGGCAATTGAATTCTAGTATGGGAGAGAACGAACGAATTGGTGCGGAAGCCCTTGTTACCACAGTACCTCATATATTATTACATTGTATTCCACTCACTTTGAAGAATCTCTGTGTGGTAGCTAACATACTTGAGATGCATTTCCCTTCCCCTTGCTGAAGCTTATGATTCCTAAATTTTAAATTTTATGACTTTGATAGCTTAAAATAATTATTGTATATTTTTATGTCCCCTTTTGTTTTTAATGATGTTTAGTGCTTTATCTGCTGTGCTGTTGCTTCCATAACTGGAAGTCCAGAATGGCTGTGTTTATATGAAATTCTTACTTATTCTTGAATGGCATTTTGCAGGCAGTTTTGAAAATAATTAAACACTGCAAGGAATTCTCCCCAGCTCTGGTCACAGGGCAACTTCTTGGTCTTGATGTTGGGAGTGTACTTGAAGTCACTAACTGTTTTCCTTTCCCTGTATGTTAAAATCTTTCCTTTTCCACTGATGAGAGTAGCATCTATTTACTTCTTCACTCAGATTTGCACTGTTCCCTTATATGGCTAAGTTCAATCCCCTCAATCCACTTCTTTAAAAAAACATTAAATTGTCAATTCTTTTCAATAATAACATATTTTTCCATTTGCATGTTGAGATTGTCTTAGAATTACAATTTCTTTAGGTAACAAGTTTCAGTCCCCTTCCTTTAATTTTTTTTTTGTTCTTTTATGCTAACAACAGTCTGTAACGTTGTAGATTAGAGAAGAAGATGAGGAAATTGAAGCAGATGGAGCAAATTATCAGCTTGAAATGATGAGATGCTTAAGGGAGGTTAATGTGGACAACAACACTGTAGGATGGTATGCAGAACAACCATAAATTAGTATTTAAATTTTTTCTTTATAATTCATCTATCTAAGAACCGGATCTACTTTTTACATATGGTCTACTAACCTTTGGAGATTGGAGTCAATTGGAGATTTAATCAAGAATTATCTTATGGCATTCTCAAACGAAGTTAGCTTAAAGCCTTAAAACTGAATGCATGTAACTTTTTAGGCATCCTTTGCCTCCTTTTAAAATATAAGTGCAATAATTTGCAGTTATGTTCCCTTGTGGACACAATCAAATTTGTTGGGTATGTATGTTTAAGCTTAGGCACGAAACTGCTTAGTTATACAGATGTGGCTGGTATACTACAAACTATCCTGAACTTCCAAGTAGCAGGGAACTGCACACGACTAGTTTTAACTGCTGCATGCTAGTACCAATCTATTTTTAGTTACATTTAATTTCCTATAGTTGGATACTGTAGTAGAATTCTGGAGTTGATTAGTAAACTGCAGGTTTAAAGTTTAGATGTCTTAGAGAAGTAATTTCGTAGTGCATACCAGAATTGTAACAATTCACTGTTTGAAGTCATGATAGTGAATAGCAGTGTTCTAAAATCCGGATTAAACGGCCGCTTATGCCTAAGCTGGTTGGAACCGCTCCAATTAGGGAAAAAGCTTTCCATAGGCGGTCATCCGCATAGTCGAGTGCATTTTTAGTAAGCGTCACATAATTTTTTATGTTGGTGCTTTTCTTTTAAATCTTTTCCAGGTTGAACTTGTTTACTGAAACCTGATCCAACTACTAAAGTAAAAAAAAATCTAACTCTAAAATTGTCCCAAAGTTCCACTATTTCTATTCTCTCTTGTTTGAACCTAGTGATTGTGACAAATATCTCTAGCTTTCGTCGACACTTGCTCTTGCTTGAACTTGGGATGCTCGAGTAAACTCACTGGAAGATTGTACGACCTCCGACGTTCTCCCTTCAAGCGACCTGGAGATCACCTTGATGCTCTCTGGTGTTCCCGTTGAAGCTCTCCAGTGAAATAGATTAGTTGAAGTTTCTAAGTATAATTTCTGTTTTTCATGAATTTTTTATATTTTAACAAATGATAAATAATAAATATATATTATAAATTGACAAGGTTTTCGATAGCGGATAGCGTCGCGTAGCGGTGAGGCATCTCGCTAAGACTATTTCGGGCTATTGCAGTAAAATAGCAGTAAAAAGCGCAAAGTCAAATAGCGGTCTAATTTAGATATGTATAAATACTAAAAAAAATTAAAGAAAAATCTAAGAAATCTCAAAGTACATATTGGATGATTTAAAGAGACCCTAAACATGAAATAGACATATAACCATCACGTAATACCGAAGATGACTGGAGGAGTCAAAAAGTCGTCGTCTTTGAGAAGAAGAGCTTAGCGGCAAGGTTTTAAATATCGGATGTCGGGTTCATGTCGGATGGCTGAAATCCATATCGGATAACGGAAATCGGGGATATATCGGGGGACATTGACTAAATATCGGATTGCCATATCGGGTAGTGCGCATATATATAATATCATGTCCTAAATGTAATCTAAGCATTCATAAATTCAATATAAGCATACTTTATAAATTCTATAGACTAAACATATAAAAAAGTAAATAATATATGGATTTGGGTTCATAAATTCTTTCTATCGGGTTCATAAGAAACCCTTAAACATGAGAACGAGTCAAACGGGTTTGGGTATTTATCACTAAACCCAAACCCGATAATAAAAAACAGATCTTAAAAAAAGTACCATATCGGTCGATTTTTCAAAGCTAAAAATAGGCCGATATGCCCGATATGACCCTCATATTTCCGATTTTGCCCTGAAAACCGACATACGAGTTGAAAACGTCCATGTCGTGTCGGTCAACCCCTCAAACCGATATGTCAGCCGACATGTCGGACATGTCGGCCGATATTTAAAACCTTGCTTAGCGGTGACAGGACTGCCCTAAGGGGAGCTCACGGTGAAGGAGGTGAAAGGAAGTATCAAGGTAGGTGCCAGAGGTTATGAGAAGTGGCGGAAGTATGCTGAAAATCACAGGAGACGGTGGAATGCAATGGTCAAGTGTTGAGTTTAATTTTAAAAAAATAAGCATCAAACCGCTTTTAAATAGCAGTCAAAAAGCAAATTTCGAATGCAATCGCTCACTATTTACCGTTATGACACACTATTGGCTGCTTTTGCAAACAAACATATTCCGCAATATATCACCGTTATTGCGCGATAGCGTAGCGGGCGATAGCGTCGTGGGAACGGACCGCTAACGCTATTAGCGCCGCTATTGCAGGGCTATTTACCGCTATTTATAACAGTGAAAATTAAAATGTGTAATTCCGCATAATTCAATTAATCGGCGCATAATCCAATTAATTGTTAAGCGCTCTCGAACTGCACTCATAATAAAACAATGTTCTTGAACATTGGTGATTAGTGGGGAACAGTCTATGGTAGCATACTGTAGTTAAATTCCATAGTGTATAGTTTCTTTTAGGGTCATAACAAAAGTCCTCTGAACTTTTGGGAGTTTTGCACAAAGCTGCCGTCAACTTTGGAAATCAGATAACACCCATGAATTTTGGGGCGTTCGGTGTCCCCCCACCCCAACCCCCCACCCACCAAAAAAAAGGGAAAAAGTATTGTTCCCCACAAATGGAGGGTTTTGGGTAAAAGACTAATATACTAACCCCCAACTTATTAAATAGAATAGGGAGACCATTTAATTTGGGCCTATGACATTATTTTCATTTTGGATCACATGACTGGTGCATGAGCCATTATAGTTAAGAGTATCAAAGCGGTTTTTGTGAGAAAAGTTCAAGGGTGTTTTATCTGATATTCAAAGTAGGTGGTAGTTTGTGCAAAATCCCCCGAAGTTCTTTTAATGTGATCAAAGTTGGCATAGAACATAGCTTATGCAAAGCAAGTCAATGATGTTTTCAGCCATTGTGATGAGTTTTCTCTCACAAGTTTGCATAGTGAACTATTCATAACAAATGATAAAAGGAAAATATGACTTCTTATAAGGCAGGCACAGTTTGTATGCAATAATGCCATTTGAGGAAGGAAGTTCACTAAGTGGATACATGATTATCAACACGATGCTTGTTAATGTGTGTTCAAAACTGTGATTGCCCATATATTTTGAGATTATGGTTATATTATAGGAGTATAACATGAGTATATCAAAGTTACTATTTTTAATCTTATTGGGTTGCTGCTAGCTTCTCCTATTAATGTCCAACATAATCAACTGTAATTCAAGTTTTTTTCGCTTATTCTACCCCTTTGTTTTTTTAGGTATCAGTCAACTCTGTTGGGGTCATATCAAACAGTGGAGTTGATTGAAACTTTCATGAACTATCAGGTATTGCAAGTTTCTTCTTTGAAATCAAGCATGAGAATATCTTGTTGATGGTCATCAATTGTAAAATTGAAAATACTAATTGTGGGAATGTTGATGATCATGGGAGAAAGTTGACTGGATTATTAACCGAGTTTTATTGACCATGCACCTTTTCCTGTGAGTTGGTTTTTTCAGATTGTGCTTTTGTCTTATAGCTTTGTTAATAAAAAGACAGAAAAATTCTTAATCTCCTAATCGTGGAAAAATCTTATTGATGATCATAGGAAAAAAGTGACTGGATCAATAGGATCCATTGGAAAATAAAAAAAACAAATTGTGGGAATGTCTTGCTGATGATCATCGGTGAAAATTGACTGAATTAATAACCGAGTTTATTGACCACACACCTAGGTAGCACAGACATGGACTCAGATGCAGACACAGATATGGACATGGGACACGGCAAATTTGTAAAATATAGGTGACATAATATATAATACAACAGACATGATCAAATATTAAATAACAATACCAATAACATTTGTATGTTTTTTCCTATTATATATAACAATTAAGAATCAAGTTAAATTAAACCACAAATAAGATTTAACAAGAAAAGTTTTACTTTTGACTGCATGGGATAATACAATGGGTGCTTTTCAAATATTGAAGTAATGAATTTCAGTTTTCGGGTTAAAAAGCCAATTGGTTTTGAACTTGATATTACCAAAAAAATTAGTTTAGGGTACAAGTAATGGGGAAATCGAGTTTTTTCTGAACCACATGTTTCCATGGCGTGTTCGCGGAGAGTCTGTGTCCAACACGTGTCGGACATGGACACGGCACCCAAAATTCCGTGTCCGTGTTACCAGCCATTCACATTTACCTGTGAGTTGACTTTTTCAGCATGTGCTCTTTGGTGATAGCTTGTTAAATTATAAAAAGATAAAAAATTCTTAATCTCTTAATTTCCTGTGAATATTTGTTTCACTTATCAGGTGACGCTTTTGTTTTTCTTCTTTTTAGCTTTTATTTTTCAATGTTTCCTTACATCTGAATTTTTTCTAGCCTAACCACTGGTACCCTCTCACAAGTGGAACAGTGAGCAGGTCATGTAATTTCTGGCAGCAAATTTACAGAAGTGGTGGCTCACAGAAGTACAAAAACTAAAAACCTAGTGCATGTGCTTCTTGTTGTGCAATGTACTTTAGTTGACCTGAGCCCATCTACTAATTTGGCTGATGGGTTAATAGTGGTTAGACCCTCTGTTGTTCTACTGATGCAGATAGACCTCCTAAGTGAATTTCTTTGAGTTCTTAAAAGAGGTAAAAAAGTTTACTCGGGTAGTCTATCCGCACTTGGGCTATAGTTCAGCTGGCCTATCTGCAATTAACCCGGTTGGATTAGGTGATCTTTAAATAATTCTATTGTCTGGATACCTAACTCGCCATCACAACCCCTCCACAGCAACACACAAACCCACCCAGCCCAAACATAAACCCAAATAAAAAGGAAAAAGAACAAATCGACCAAAAGAATGAAGAAACCATCTACACACACTACACAATGAAAAAATAAAAAAGCAGATAGTTACATATATACTTATTCTCTATGTGCCTTTATGTACATAGGATGTAAACTAAGGCCACATATCAGTGAAAGTTTGAATATGCTGTGACTATTTTATTTGGGGGTTGTAGTTCTAGGGTGACATTTCTAATTTGTAAATGTGTTCCTTGCCTTACTTTTGTAGGAAAGTTTCCACCTTGTTACTGATTTTTCTTTTTGTTCTTACAGGAGAACATTCGGCGTTGTGTCTGCATTATATATGATCCTTCAAGGTCGAATCAAGGGGTTTTAGCTCTGAAGGCGTTAAAGCTCTCAGATTCCTTTATGGAACTGTACCGCAAGAACAATTTTACTGGAGAGAAGTATTGAGTTTATCTCCTTACCTGTTAGCATGTATGACACTTGCTGTTAAATTCTAATGTTTTTGCATTATCTACTAGGTTAAGAGAAAAGAAGCTTTCTTGGGTGGATATCTTTGAGGAAATACCTGTATGTGTCTTGTTTCTATGTATGCTTCCCTTTGAATTTATGATGCACATCTTTATACTTCACAAGTATTAAAATTACTTTTCCCTGTTCCCTTTGTAGAGAGGATAACCTGGGAATTGCTTTGAAAATGTTTGGTTATTTCATTAGGCCTACTAATTCATGTTGGTACTTTTCAACCTTCCAGATTAAAGTTTCAAATTCTGCACTTATTAGTGCTTTCATGTCGGAGTTGGAGCCTGATTCACCTGTTGCACAGGTCTTATAAATTTTCAATTATATAAAAGTTACAACTGTTTCATTCTGTTTATTTAACATTCATATTCATGTTTTACCTTTAAATTTGTATCCCTGTACTATTTGCAGTGTGATCTTGATCGTCTGAATTTATCAACAACTCCGTTCATGGAGAGAAATGTTGAGTTTTTGATTGAGTGCATGGAAGATCTTTCTTCTGAACAGAATAAGGTTAGTTTTCCTTTTGGTGCAACACATTTTGACTTTCTTTTGCAACAGTTTCTTATTTGTTTATATGTTTTTTCTCAGTTCCAATATTATTACCGGAACCTTCAAAGGCAACAAGCACAGCAGCAAGCATGGCTTCAGAAGAGGAGGTAATATCAGTTGAAAGCAAAATCTCGGGCATATTTTTTGATCTTTGCTTTTCAGAAATGGTTTTTTATGTAACGTATTCTCTGAATATACAAGCCTTGTGCTTGAGAATTACCATTGAACTGTTGAATTTGATATAAGACTTCAAAGTTAGTGTTGAAATTGACAGAAGACTTTAAAGTTACTGTTAGTAAGAACATATAAGGAGCTATGTTGTGTTTGACCTTTGGCTAAGAAATTCAAAACTTCGTAAGTTATGCACTAAAGTTATATTTTCCTATGATATGTAGCTTTGTGTCCGTATTTGGACTGTTGAAATGGATATGAAGATTTAGGATTCCGTTTATATTGAGTCGAAACTGAATAAGAAAATTAATCGCATGACATCCTGGAAGAACATATTAAGTTGAACCTCAAAGTATATATAATTTATTAAGCTTTATTTCTGTCATTTATGAGCAAATGATAGTGTCTCTATTGTCCTCTTCAGTTTTGATTATAAATTCATTTTTACGTTTATGTGCATTTGCTACTGTTAGGATGGAGAACATGGCAAGGAAAGCTGCTGGAGAAGAGCCCTTGCCTGAAGAAGATCCATCAAACCCCATCTTCAAGCCACTACCTGAACCGTCACGCTTGGATAGTTATCTCATAACAAATCAAGTAGCTAACTATTGCGGTCAAATAAATGGGTATGTACATTTATCATTGGTCCTCTTCATGTGATGATACCATGTTTCTGACAAAAAGAGTCAGCATATCTTTGAAATACGTATGTTTAATAGAGTATTTTCATTCCTAAATGATGGGACTTACTAAGCTTCTCTTCCGCCATGCACTGTTTTGTATTAACATGCAGATATGAACTTTGACACAGATCTAACTATAGTTCAACATAAAAACTCTCTTGGAATAAATGAAAGAGATAGTTACACACTTTAGCTGAAGATTGATTTGATGTTGCTTTGATTATTCTAAGTTGCTGACTTTGGTGCCATATCCATTCCCTTTTGAATTCTACTATAAGAGTTCTATTAAGCGTGTCTGGTGAAAAAATGAATATGCCATAGGCAAAATGATTTTGATAGTAATTATTTGGAGCGGATCATGCCATAAGATATAGTTTGCACTCTCAAGTTATATTTTGAATTGATATTTTTATTTTATTTATTTATTATTTATTTTTTGTGGATCAAGGGTTTTATATTGAGACTTCTTTACAGTTGACAATGTGCTCCCTGAGATTCTACTGCTCAAGTCCTGTTTTGTTTAAGGAGCATTGTGTAATTTTATATAATAATGCAAACTTGTAATCATGATCGGTTGCATTTTCTTCAGTTCTTGGGTTGTTTTAGTTGCCGCATTCAAGCAGATCACTGCAAATTATATCATCTAGATGTTGTGGTTTGGCAGAGAATTGTCACACATTTTAATTTTGTTTATGTGACTCACTTCGTGGTGGCCATTGAAAGTTTAAGATTAGATGTTTAGTAAAGTTTAAGATTAGATGTTTAGTTATTGAATTTTTCTATAGGGTTTTTACATCAAAACTACCTAAACTTTTGCCCAAATTGACGGTTACCGCCTACATTTTTTTTTTTGACAAAAACCACCTAAAATTGCTTACATGCTTTCAATATCACAACAATCTATGTTTTTTTTATCGTTACCACATGAACTTTTATATCTCTTACCACCTAAAGTTTTCTCTCTCTTATGGTTACCACCTTACAAAACACAACTTGATATGTATACCACCTTGCCTTTATAATTTTTTGACATGAATCACCTTCTGTGTTAAGAAAATCACAATTACCACAAAAAATTGAAATATGTACCAAGCATAACCACACATGAGACATTAGCTACAAAAAATAGGTTGTTTTTATGTGACAAAAAACATAGATTGGTGTGACATTGAAAGCATGTAAGCAATTTTAGGTGGTTTTCGTCAAAAAAAGAAAAAAAAAGAAAAAAAAAGAAAAGAATGTAGGTGGTAACCATCAATTTGGGTCAAAGTTTAGGTGGTTTTGATGTAAAAACTCTTTTCTATATCTTTAAATCTCTGCAACGTATTGGTGTATTTTAATTACAGGACTAATTGCTCCAATCTGAAAACTTCACAGGGTTGCTGGGCAGAGTTTCAGCAGATTATATCTCATGAAGGCTTTGCAGGATAATTGAGCAAAAGCCACTCAATTTGTTGTGGAATGATCATTTTTCTCCCATGACTTTCTCTGTAGGAGCGTTTTATTTCTTATGATCGACTGTTCTTGTTTTAACTGGTGTGATATTGATTATGCTAGTGGATGGAAAAAAATATGAATTTTGTGATTTGATGTTTTTTCTTAAAGCAAACTCTCAATTGTAAGAGCTATGGACTTACGAATTATTACGGTTTCATGTAGTTATGATAGAGATGTCCTGATGAACTGTTATGGTATCTAAAATGTTCTACCGCGTGGTACTTTATACACTTTGTTGTGGTTGTGATATTGCAACCAAAGTCTTGTTGTATTTGAATGGAAAGCTATACACTGGGGTACGAATATGATAGCCAATAGATGTCTTAATGTTATGAAATTGCATGGCGTTCCGTTTTGAGCTCTCAGGGTTGATCTTTGTTTTTTTTTTGTTGGATGAAAGGACTAATCTTTGATGCTATCATTTCATTTAGTTGTTTTTCCTAAATTGTGATGACTCTTACTTAGGTCATTTATTATTTTCGGCATTGTCATAAACAAGTCTTTGTTAGACCCTAATGCCACTAGAAAAGAACCCTAGAGGGGGAGGGAGAGGAGGGGTGAATAGGGTCTTATGCTAATCTAATCTGATTAATGTCAATTAAAAACTTATTAACAAGTTATCCTAGCAAATAAGATGTGTAACAATTATATGTAAGGATAAGTAATATAAACAAAGGGTAAAATAAATAAATTACAAATGTGATAGGGGCAATATACACAAAGAATAATAGATAATGGCAATATAAGATAAACACAAAAGTAAATGCGTCAATGACAAACTCAAACACAAGCAAATGATCATGAGTTCAGACATTTCGTCCTATGTCTTCGCTCCCCACTCCCGGGGAGAAATTCACTATCACACTGGGTTTTCGACGCTCACCCGAAAACGTTTACATATCACACTCGGTTTTCTAGCTCACCGAAAATTTTATAATCAACACTCTTGCAATCACAATCTACACATTCTAAGTGTTGGTATCTAGCCCGTGTCTCCATTAAGTGCTCGGATTTACAACCTCTCTCTAGGCTTTACTACCGACGCCACTCCTATTGGGACGATTCCGTCTCTCACTACACACTCCTCTCGGTGTACAAGTGTATTATAAAGTGTATCTCATAATAAATGCTCACAAATACAGATGTTTCTTCTCTAACTAGATGAGAAATCAATTAAGCTCACTCTTAAGGTCACAATTCCACAACCCCAATATATACTATGTATGCAAATACAATAAGCTCAATGGTTGTGTGTGAACAATGAGAAAATCAAATATAAAATATATACTATGTATGCAAATACAATAAGCTCAATGGTTGTGTGTGAACAATGAGAAAATCAAATATAAACTCAATGTAAACACTAGCTTAACAATAAGCTCAATGGTTGTGTGTGAACAATGAGAAAATCAAATATAAACTCAATGTAAACACTAGCTTGGTGAAGATGATAAACAACAAATAATTAATGCAAAACTAGTATTGAGTTTAGAAACTTTTCTCTGAAAACAAGATGGAGAGATGGAGATTGAAGCTCAAACAATGAAGATGATCTCCTCCACTTGTGAAAACTTCTTCACAAACCAAAAACTTGATTTTCTTTAAAACACACTAAACAAACTGGTAAACTCTTTTTTAAAACTCTTCTTAGATGATGATAGAGCTGGGTATAAGGGGGTATATATAAGAGACCTCAAAACACAAGAAAAACCCAGCAAAAGGACAAAAAACCCGAAAAACAAGGAGTCTGGAAAACTAGCCGTTATGCAGTTATAAGTCGACTTGCTACAGTGATAAGTCGACTTGTAACTAGCCATTATAGTCAAAAATCAGCCATAAGTCGACTTGTAAATGTCATAAGTCAACTTGCTATAAGTCAACTTGCGTTGTCTGATAAGTCAACTTGGCAGCGGAAAAATAAACATTCCAGAGCATTTCATAAGTCGACTTATCAACCCTGATAAGTCGACTTATGAACATGCACAGAGACTGTGCATGTCCAAAAATTAACTTTGAAACCTTAATTAAAAATAACAAATAAAATTAGAAAAATATAAAACTTTGGGAATGATTGTAAACATGACAATAAACATGTTTACAAAAAGAATTTTTAGAATTGCACTTCCCAATTGTAAAATCTCATCATTTTGCAAATATGTCCAAAACATGAAAAATGTGATTATACATGAAATTTGATGTTTTGACATTAACCAAGTTTTGAAAAAATATAAAATGATTTTATAGACTTAATAAAAGATGTATACAGTGATTGTTAGGTCCATAAATAAGAATACATTATTTTCACAAAAATGTATATATTATACAAAACACATTTGTTTTTCCAAAAGCAATAGAATATGAAACATGTGAAAGTGTATATGAATATAACTATTGTTTTATATCTATAAAGCTAAAATATATATATATAAACTAATAAAATATGTGTGTATATGATATTGAGCTTAAAGTATCTAACACACATAATATAAAATCTAAACTATTTACCCAAACAACTTGATCTTCAATGAGCTCTTCTTGGTAAAATTACGGATGAAGCTTGATCTTGGATCTTGACTTGAATTACATTGCTTCACTCCGGTATTCTGTCAACCTCCATTGGATATAATCGTTATGGCGTAATTCCATCCAACCGCCAACCCATTGTTTGTCTAGAATAAATAAGAAAACACAAGCACTAGACAAACAATATTAGTCGTAAATTGTTTGTTAAATCATCATCAAAACAAAAAGGCCAACAATCTTTACTTCTCAAACAAACACTTACAAGATACAAAGGCTAAATATCATTTATACCTTATAGTTTAATTAAATTTTCACTTGTTCACCCTCACTTGTTCTTCGTGGCCTTTATTAAAATACCACATCGATACCCTTAATTATGTAAACGTGAAGATATTTACTCGAACCTTATATGACACTTAGAATCAAATAGCATGTAAATGTCATATTGGACCATTCAGGTGAAAATTTCCTCGTTTGCATAATGGTGGGGGTACTAATATGCCTATTTTAAACAACTTGAGATATATAAATACCACGAAAAATAAGCGAATGCGTACAAGTGTGAAATGAGTGAAATTATAAGGTATTCAAGTGCTATTTAGCCAAATACAATTTACAGTCACAACAACTTTGCAAACACCCCTTACTTAACAAAGTAAAGGAAGTTTTCCATCCCAGGTGACTTGGACGTACATCGCGGGTGACCCAGACTATTGAAAGGTTCCAATATGACTTTTATGATTTTGAATTCAATTCTTGACCGCATTAAGGATAACAAAAAAAAGAAGTAAAAAAAGGGTTAATTTTTAGAAAGCCGCCCTCAACTACGAGCTTGTCTCAGAAAAAGGAGGTTGAGCACATAGAGGAAGAGATAAGCTCATCGGCCCATGTCACACCCCAAAAAAGAAACCAACTGGGCTCACCCGTTAGCCGTTTGTAACTTATCGGCCTCCTTTGTTGATTACATAGCGTAAAGTAGCTCTTTTTTGTAACTTTTCCTAATAATTCAGCTAAAATTTATATAGCTACTGACTAAATTTTCGAACTTCACTATTATCATTTCTTTTTAGATTCCCATTCCTATCAAAACCTTCTTGCATGGGACATGCATTTCTTATCTTTAGATAAAACAATTACAAATAAGATTCGATGAAATCCATACCTTTCAATATCACAACTGCGATGGGCCTCTCTCTCTCTCTCTCTCTCTCTATATATATATATAGCTACTGACTAAATTTTCGAACTTCACTATTATCATTTCTTTTTAGATTCCCATTCCTATCAAAACCTTCTTGCATGGGACATGCATTTCTTATCTTTAGATAAAACAATTACAAATAAGATTCGATGAAATCCATACCTTTCAATATCACAACTGCGATGGGCCTCTCTCTCTCTCTCTCTCTCTCTATATATATATATATATATATATATATATAGAGATTCCCATTCCTATCAAAACCTTCTTGCATGGGACATGCATTTCTTATCTTTAGATAAAACAATTACAAATAAGATTCGATGAAATCCATACCTTTCAATATCACAACTGCGATGGGCCTCTCTCTCTCTCTCTCTCTCTCTATATATATATATATATATATATATATATAGAGA